TGAAGACAACAAATACAATACAGCTCTATTGACAGAGTACCAGCCAGTGAAACATCAACGAGTGTGTGTGTGTGTGTGTGTTTCATACGTTAGCAAGCACCGAGGACGCACTAGCCAGAAACAGCAAAGATAAGAGACAGACAATGGGAGGATGAAGTGAAAGAGAGTCAACTAACCTTTCTCCACCTCATTATTATTAGCAGCTAGTAGAAAAAGTGAAACCAGTAGCGAGAGAAAGACAAAGAAATACAGAGGACGCATTTGACATGTTAGCTCAAGCAGCACATTAGCATCAAACACAGAGCACAGAGAACACAGAGCATTGCGCGCGTGACTGTCCTTGTGTTTGTGTGGGTTACCTGTGTATTCAGGCGAGCAGAGACAGGTGTAGTTGTTGATCCCATCCACACACGTAGAGTTATTCTCACAGTCATTATCTTCACAGTCATCGATATTTAGCTCACATTCGTCGCCCTCAAATCCATCTGGACACACACACCTGAACATACACAAATACGACTTCTTAATTCTTTTGAAACGTTTAATTCACTCTGTGAGCAGTGTTGCTATTCTATAACTGTCTAAAATTGGTTTGTAACTACATGTCTCTCACAGTCTGTCTACATATGTTTGGGTCCCTGCTTCAATTTTGTTGTACTATTTCATCACAAAAGTGTAAGTATAGGTGCTTAGAAATGATCACATCATCTTTTTTTCAGTTTTGGGGTCAGTAAAACATTTTTCTGGAAGAAGCATGCATTAAAGCATCAGCAAGCATGCATTAAACTAATCGAAAAACTAATCAACTTGATGAGCAGCAAATCAGCATATTAGAATGATTTCTGAAGGATCATGTGGTACTGAAGATGCTGAAAATTCAGCTTTGCATCACAGAAATAAATTACATTTTAATGTATTTTAAAACAGAAAATGGTTATTTTGAATTATAATAATATTTCACAATATTACAGTTTTTACTGTATTTTTGATCAAATAAATGTAGCCTTGGTGAGCATAAAAGACATCTTTCAAAAACATTAAAAAATCATCCCGACCCCAAACTTTTGAACAGTAATGTATGTATGTGTGAATAACATTAGATGTATCAGTTTGCATTTCATATTGGAATGTGTAAGTATTACATAAGTGTTTATTTGAGCATTCAGTGCTATACACATATGTACGACTACTTACATAAGTTCATGCAAGTGTTTTATGTGTGTATGCGTGAGTGAAGATTGATTAAGACAGATTAGACACACTCTGTCCATAAAGTATATTCATTACCGGAGCAACAGGGACACACACACACATCTGAGCATTTACTTGATTTACTAAATGAAAGCCACATTCAACATGGCCTGAATACAATAAAGGAGCTCTTGATTGGTCTCATATACACGCCATTTCGCTGATGACGATGATCAAGGTCTGTCTCACCAGTGAGTGTTCTCCTCTCCATCTTTCAGATGGCAGGTGCCTCCATTCTGACAAGGGTTACTGATGCACGCATGAATCGGTTCCTTGCAGTCTTGGCCCTAAATGAACACACAGGTTGCATTACAAATCCACATTGTCTTTCACACTTGCATATCCTCACGTACAAATGTTACATGTGAACTCTCTCCCTGCCAGTGTTTTTTTTTTTTTTTAAAGTTGCCAGTTGCCGCCAGCATTTTTGATCATTTTCACACAATTTTCATTCATATCTGAACATGCAATATGTCAAAATAACAGAGCCTCTGCTTTTAAACACACACACAAAAAACGTTTTATTCTAGCTTCATGCCTTCTTTTTTTCATCAACACTTGAATGTGGGTCAGTTTCATAAAAAAGCAACATTTTGAACAAAAAGCTGAGAAAATGGCATTTTTGTCAAAGACTATGTCTGGATCAGATTCAGACCGATGATCAAAACACAGATGGAGTCGATCACTTCCAAAGGTTCACAGTCCTAAAACACTTCTTCAGTCGACATTTCATTCAGTAACGTTAGACAGTTTTTATTTACATGCTGTTTAATGATTGATGATCGCGTTATTTTACATATGCATCTGCTTGCATATGCAACCACTTGTTTCTGCTTCTTCTTTGCTTTGTTTTGATCCAGACATTCAGTACTCTATCAGAAGATGTGTAATAGCACCTCCTACTGTATAACAGTGAAAACACGGATAGACGGAAACTTCCATCAATGGTGGGGAAAGAGATAATCATCCAAAGAGCAAGATGAAACTTTTGTGCAAATTTGGATTTGGTTTATGGTACTTTATGTATTTGCCATTTTACTGCCTGTCATGTGAAAAGTCTGCTATCTTAAAAAGGATTAGCACCCCTTTCCTCAAACAAACCACACCATCTCATCTTGTACAAATATAACACAAAAGGTTGTGCACACGAAGTTGAATACATTAGCTAATGAGATGCTCTTGTTTGTGTTTAAGGGTGTACGCACCTTAAAACCATATGGACAGGTGCATCTGTAAAAATCGACGGGATGGTTACTGCAGGTTCCGTCATTCTTGCAGGGGTTGGATAAACAAGGGTTACATTTTGCCAAAATGCTTACATCCACCGGACCTATGTAAAATACAGAGGACAAAGTAATTACACAACATGATATACGCACAAACAGAAATATAACAAGCACAGACTTACAAACACGCATAGGATTGAACAGGTAAGGCATCACAAACCAATACAGGTCAAAGAGGTCACTTTAAACCTGAGGAAAGGTTGGGTGGCAGCTACAGGGGGCCGGGGTTTAAGAGCTCAGACTGGGCTCTTATTGACTTGCTTACCTGGCACAGGAAAACCACAAGTCCCCGGCACCTCTACAAATGTACCAATCAAACACATTACTTACAATATTAACATCAGAGCATATTAGCTAGTGTTAGAGTTAGTACTAATGCCCTCTCTGTGACAGGATGAGTGTGTCTAAAGTGCACGGGTGGGTTTACCTGAGCATGTGAATTTTTTAGAGGGTGTAGTCAGCAGCAGTTTGTCGGTCATCTCTCCAGGACCGGTACATCGTGCAATTCCAGGCTCTTTGTAGCCGCTCTTTACCCAGTCAGAGAGCCACTGCATGTGACAATCACAGTACAGAGGGTTTGCTCCCAGAGCCCTGCAGGAAACACACACATATTACACGTCTTCCCCAAAAATGTGGATGATGAAAAAAATAACACAATGTAACAAAAATGTGTTTGATGGCTCTTCTGTAATTCTGTGGTGCTGATTATTATTGTATTATTTATTTTCACGTAGCATTTTGGTAAATATTTAGGTCAGGAAAATTTTAGAACTTCTATCATTAATTATGAAACATTGGTTTAGTACAGAGAAGTTTTTGTACAAATTTTGCAGATTAAAATTTTTTTTTTAAAGATATTTTGCTTTTGCAAGGACGGGAACATTCTATTAGTTTCTGTAACATTCTGTAATATTCTGTAATATTCTAGTGCTTTCTGGATCATTCCAGTCATAACAGGCAAAAATCATCCGACGTACACTTCTGAAGTTTTAGACGACTCGCTTTTGCTAACTGTTTATGTTAAACTGTTGTTGATAGCTCAGTATTATCATTTTTACAGTATGCATGAGTAATAACAGATAAGCTTGTATAAGTGTCAACATATGTTTTTAGTTTTCATGAGCACTGTTAATGATACACAAAAAGTAATGTGTTTTTTGTATTCAGCATGTCAAACTTCATAAAGAAACATTACAAATCAAAATCAAACAAAACTTAAATAAAATGCACTCACCTAATGTGACTTTGATGTGATTTGGTTTTAATAAATAGTATTTTTTTTATATAAATTTATTATTTATATAAACAATAAACATTATGATATTGGTTGCTTGACAATCTCATGTGTACAGCAATCTACAGATTTGTTCTACTCGGCTGTCAGTCATAATTACACTTGTGAAATTGATCCATGGGATTTATAAAAAAAAGGGTCATCATGGGAGACCGAGAACTCAAGCAATCTGTGGCTGCAGAACCCCAAGTTCAGACAGAGAAAGTGTTTCAGCGTGTTTGTGTGAGAGTAAAAGAAAGAACCAAAGTACATCCAGCTGTCAAAACCTATTTGGTGCACTCATAAGTGCTCGCGTGTGTGTGTGTGTGTGTGTGTGTGTGTGTTTATTCTGAGGTACTTACAGGTGGGAGAGCGAGGACAGATCTTTGAAAGCTCCATCTGGGATCACAGCAATATCATTACCATGGAGAGACCTGCAGAGAGAAGAGAGAAATGAAGCCATCCAAGAGAGTCCAAAACATATAAATCAAAGTCTAATAGCAAAGACACACACACACACACACACACATCAATGAGGTACTCACAAGAGGCGCAGAGACTTGAGGCCGTCGAAAGCTTTAACAGGAATACACCGCAGTCTGTTGTAGCTTAATATTCTGGGATGAAACAAAAGATATTACAATGTTTGCACAGAAGCGTCAGGCCAAGCAAAAGTGAATTTTGCAACTTCCAAAATAAATTACTGAAACAAAGATAACAAGGTAAATAAACTATCTTAAATAGTTAAGTTAATAACAGTTATTGTAGGTCAAAAGTGTAGTAAAATGTGTCTAAAAGTGGTGGCAAAAAAATAACTTCATACACATACCGAAAAACACATACTGCACAAAATATAAAACTGTTAAAATTCACATCACACAAGCACAATGCACAGCTACAGACATACACAACCATAAAAACACACACAGACACAATCTGAAGCCATAGATCATGTTGACACTCACAGGGTGAGCAGCTCAGACATGTTACTGAAGCTGTGGTTGGACAATGTGCTGATCTGGTTATTACTCAAATCGCTGCAAGAAAACACACACACACACACACACACACACACACACACACAAAGGCAGAGTGTTATTATGAGCCACAAGAAAATCAAACACTTAAAGCCAACATTTAGGGTAAACTGCAATAACAAAATGTTGCACAGCACTAAAAAGCACAAGATTCTTTATATTTAGGATTATTTAATTTTGTTAAATAAACAAACATTACATTGTTTGTTTGTTTTAAAGATAAACTGACTTTTTGGATGGAATATTTAAATAAAATTGCAAAACCCAGATTGCAAGGAATTACTTATTACACTTTACATTACTTGGTTTAATGCATGGCATAAGACAACGCACACGTGAACCTCCATGTTAAAGACACTCAAATGGCTAAATGTATCAATGCAGTGACTTTAAAACTGCAAACAGCAAACACCAATCATGTACAATAGTTATGCATTAGGCATGAAGTCAAAATACAACATACAGAAGCATTCAACAGCCTTGATGCATGAAAGGACTTTTCTGCGTGGGTCTGATTTCTAAGCCTATTTAATTTGCATTCATCAAAATAATACAATATGTTAAAATGTTATAAACCTACAAAAACCATTGGCAGTCTTATGAATTATTTAAAACCATATTTCAAAGATTTTGATCATTCTTTATGCGCATAAAATAAATACTTAACAGTAATGTAGACTGAAAAAAATTAGCTATCACTCATTTAATTGATGAATTTGCATTTTGCGTGTGTACTGTATAACGCTCGCTGTTAATTAGTGCTTAATTCATTTGGTATGCTTGGTGGAGATGGACTATTGTTCTCATAGTGCGGGAAATAAGAGGAAAAGCCTAAATAAATACAGCTACAAACTTTCGGATTTTCTGGCAATGGCTGGATGAGAAAATGGATCAAACAGCATATGTACAAGTCTGCTATGATTGGCTGGTTTTAACTGATAACTGTGAAGTATTTGTGATTGGCTGACTCCAGAGAGGGCTGTACCTACATGAGAGTGAGGTGTTTATAATTGGATAGTTCCAGAGGGACTTGCGTGAACTGGTTGCCATCGAGATAGCTATCAGAAAAAGACAAACAAGTTATTACTCAAACGCAGAGGAAATAGCACATTAGCAACAGTGTAATAGGAGAAACTTCAAAGACGTATATAGAGCAGCCGTGTATTGTTTCAGACGTCAAGTATGTGGTTGGAGACAGCTGGGTTTACAAAAAAACGTGTGCCTGGATCCGATAAGGGGATTTTTGAAAATGGCCATTTATTATGAAATTGCTGCGAGGTTTGTGGCCATAGTGTGTTTGTGCACACTCACAGTTCTGTAACGTCTTTAGGAATGCCTTTGGGTAAAAGCTTAAGTCCTTTATTACTGCAGCGAACCACCGTATCCAAACACGAGCACTCGGCAGGACAGCGAGCCAGGGGCGAACAGCTATTCTCATCATTACCTGCACACACACACACACACACACACACACACAGAGAGAAAATTAATCAGCATGCTAATGTTCTCATTTATCACATGTCGAGAATGATGAAATCTGAAATGAGCTTTCTGATGTGAAGATATGCAGGGGTTTTTGTAAGCTTGCCTGGAAAGATAACACTGCATAGCATAGCAGATCTTATCAGAGCCCTATTAAGAGCTAGAAACAAGATCTTCTTATACACATGCATATGTATTAAACACCCCCACACACAGTCATAGCCGTACCGTCTTCGCAGGCAAAGTCTTGAATGGCTACATCTTGAATAGGGATCTCCTTAAGAAAGTATGGGCTCTGACAGCGAGGGTTTCCCGTAACGATCCGTTTCTTACGAAGCCATTCCCCCAGCCAGGCCAGATGACAGTTACAGTTAAACGGATTAGCCAGCAAGTTCCTGTAAGAACATATAATGGAAAAATTATGTAGCGAATATTTACCAAAAGCTTACAACCGAATGCTGTGTTTGAAAACCTAATGAGCTGCCCACGGAGGCACACTACCGTCTTAAAAAGGCAGACAACATTAAAGGGGTCATGAATTGAGAAATCAAGTTATCCTTGATCCTTTGGTCATTGTGCTATAAAACATCCTGTAAGTTTCAGAATTCAAAACTTTCTCGTTAAGTCTAAAAACAGCTTATATTGAAGCCAAGCTGCTAAAACGACTCGTTTCTGAATTTCTGACATTATCACATCATATGAAAGCCTGCCTCTGCAGAAGAAGATCAATGCCTGTTTCTGCATCACTGCCTCTTTAGCAGCGGAAAAACACAGTCTTTGCATCGCCTTCCTTCTGATCCCAACATTAGGAAAGAGTGGATGAACTTTGTTTTTTATCAAGTCAGTAAGTCCTTTGTGCACTTCATTTTATCACGTATACATGTTTAAACGAGACATAATTCGACAGGATTTTCAGAGAGATTGAAACTAAAAGACGATGCTGTGCCAACTATATTGGATCAAAAACAGGACAGAAAATAACCTATTACTTCTAAATGATGATGTTAAAATCTTGTTAACATTATATGCGGACCTCAGAGAACAGTATACATTTTTTTAAAAAGGCAGTTCATGGCCCGTTTAATAAATATGATGGCCAATGAGGCGAGAGAAACGTTTATTATAAATAAACTCAGATTTTGTTGAATAAGTAACAATTTGACCTGTTTTTTTTTTTCTTTAAATTCAATTTTTTATCTTAATATCTGTGTGTTCCCTGTATTTTATACTTATATAGAGTATCATGGAATTAGTTTAGCAACTTGCTAATGTGAAACTGTATTGAAACTAATTCTGAGTCAAGTTTTTTTGTGTTTGAGTTTCTGTTTATGTAGAATGATTCACATTGGTCCCTTCCTTCAATTCAAGGACAATAACTATAATGATAATTATTAATGATTCATTATTGGTGTGGATGCTATATAAGTTACAATGCTGGGTAGATTACTTGCAAATTGTAGTCCGTTACTGATTCTAAATTACATGACAAAAAATGTAGTTAGTAACGTAATCCATTACATTACACATTACACAGTACTTTTTGATTACCTTAGATTACTTTTGACCTAACTTATCTATCACATTGATTTAAAAAGGATAATCTTGTAGCATATTGATATTAAAAATACAAAAAGAGAATGAAAATATATTAACAACATGAAGTGCATTAAACATTACATGATATCAAGGTGCGTGGTAAGTGCTAATAATTAATTAAATAATATAAATCAATCATTTTAAATGAACAACAATCGAAATAAATCGTTTACTAAAAAGATGACATATTTTTTGCATGTCCTGTGACCATTAACCAACAGCCGTAAACATGCAAATGCGTTACTTAATTATTATTAACTTCAAGTAAATAGAAAGATATAGAAAGGTAAATTCAAAAGATGAAAGGAAGAATTATGGAGAATCAATAAATTATGAATAATTTATTGCTATTGTGTAAATAGTATGTAATCAAAAAAGTAAATGTAGTCTGATTACAAGTATTTTGAAATGTAATGTAATCCAATTACAAGAATTTAATTTTTGGAATCTGATTACGTAATCCAGATTACATGTAATTAGTTACTACCCAGCATTGAATATAATTATGGAGTGAACGGGCTATTTAGATGAGGATGTTCCCTTAGAAGACAGTCACCTATTTAGGCAGCTAACTCGGTTTTGGAACAGTGCTGAAACAAAACAAAACACTTTGTTGATACTCTGGTTTGATACTCACAGTGTTGAGAGGGAATGCAGTGTGTCAAAGGCTCCCAGGGACATGGAGGTGATCAGGTTATCATAGAGGGAGAGCAGCCTCACAGAGCTCAGACCAGTAAAACTGCTGTTATTGACACAGCTTATCTTGTTACTCCTCAACATCCTACACATGACAAACACACACATACAATCGTTTAAAACAGCCAGAAGCTCCAAATGAGATTCGGTTTGGAAAACACAAACCAAGGTGCACACACCAGAGAATAGAATCATACCTAGATACAAATTTTGCATGCACGGTGCATGCACTACCCTGAAGTTCAGTCAAGTTATTCATTGGGGTGTGCAAGCATGTGATACTCACAGTGTGCGGAGACCGCCGAGGCCTTTCAGCATGCTGTAGTGGACGCTCTCTAAGCGGTTGCTCGTCAGTATGAGTTCATTCACTCCACTGGCCCCCTCAAATGTGCCCTCCTCAATATCTGTGATCTTATTGTTACTGAGGTTACTGTAAAACAAAGCAAGTTGCCAAGGTAATTTAAGTGATGGTCGCCTAAACTGTGTAATGACAGATAACAAAGACACAGAAAGAGACTTACATTTTGCGCAATTGAGGAAGCTTCTTAAAGATTCCTGTAGCCTCCAGCACTGTAAATTCATTATTGTTCAAGCGGCTGCATGGAAAACAAATCAAACACACAACACGCAAGTAAATTATTTATTGATGAATGAATCTGTATGCATTTATATGTTTATAAGCGGGGATGCACATACTCTAAGTGGTGCGCAGGTGCGACCAAAATAAAAATGCGCTGGGTAAATAAGTTCAGAGCATCATTTAGATCGACTAACTGTAATACTGCATAAAATTTCCAATTCGAACTGAAAGCATGAATCTTGGCAAAATGTGAAACTGTGACATTTCATTCACTGACGTGCTTCACTCGGCAGAGCTAGCTAAAACCAGCAGCTCATATATGTGACCCTGGTTTGTTATGATAGGACAGCATTTGGCCGAGATACAACTATTTGAAAATCTGGAATCTGAGGGTGCAAAAAAATCTAAATATTGAGAAAATCGCCTTTAAAGTTGTCCAAATGAAGTTCTTAGCAATGCATATTACTAATCAAAAATTAAGTTTTGATATATTTACAGTAGGAAATTTACAAAATATCTTTATGGAACATGATCTTTACTTAATATCCTAATGATTTTTGGCATAAAAGAAAAATCTATAATTTTGACCCATACAATGTATTTTTAGCTATTGCTACAAATATACCCAAGCGACTTAAGACTGCTTTTGTGCTCCAGGCTCACATATTTACTTACTGGCAACCCACCAAAATAAAAGCTTGCTGATTTTAGGTTTGAAAATTATGAAAATTCATATAAAAAAAGGAACAAATGAAAATGTAAAAATTTGCATTGTATTTTTAAGTGTACTATAAAATAATTGTACTTTTTATTTCAATTAAATTTACTTTATTTAAAATAAAAACAAAATAAATAAAATGCGATAATACTATTATTACTATTATGAATTATATTATTTTTTTGTAGTTATATTTAATGGGCCACACTATGTGCAGTGTGAGCACCAAACCAAATCTCCAGGAGCTCTCATGAGAACCAGACTGAAAAACTTATGTGCATCCCTGTTTATAAGTAATAATGTATAGCAAGGTTGTGCACCATTCACAATTTAACACAAAGCTTAATTTAATTTATTGTATTATTTCGCCTCTTTATTAACAAACTTTTGTAGTGTTTTTTGTAGTGGATGACTGGATGCAAATATATTTTTATAGGGATAGTTCACCAAAACATTCTGTCATCAATTATTCACCATGACGTTCTAAATCCATAAGAACCATAAGAATTAATCTTTAAAATACAGTTATTATTATTATTATTATTTATTGTATTAATTTTTTTCTAGACATCGTAAAAGTCCAGACAAAGTCAACGTAATCCATATGAATCGAGTGGTTTAATCTGTCTTGTGAAGAGCCATGATTGCTTTATATGATGAAAAAAAAGGAATCCGCACACACAAAAAATTCAAAGTTCAAGCACCACTGAAAATGATTTACTGTAGATTCACATTGAAAGTGATAAAACATCAAAGTGTACTAACACAAACGTGCCTGTGCACAAAAGAAAAGAAAAAAGAGAAGTGTAGCTCAGATGTGTTTGATGCACGAGAGCAAACCTCATTGATTATTGAGGAAGCTCAACTGGATTTCTTTTACAATCTCTTTGTGAAACATCAAAGTTTTGTTGGAATGGGCTTTCAATGGAGGGACAGAAAGGGAGGGGATGGACAGGTTTAATTCAAAATATCTTAATTTCTGTTTCAAAGATGGATGAAGATGGGTTCGGAACGAGTAAACAATGTTTGGTGAGTAAGTGAAGACAGAATTTTCATTTTTGGCTGAACTAAACCTCAAAAGAGAGAGAGACACTCACAGTTCTGCTGTATATTGAGGGATGTGGTCCGGGATCTTTGTGAGCTTTTGTCCAGAGCAGTCCACTGTGGTTCCTTCACAGCGACACTTCTCTGGGCAGGCCAGGTCTGCGAAGCAATCCCCACCTAGTTTCGACCGGTAGTCCTCCACACCTACACACATAACCATACACCATTACACACCACACAATCACAAAAAGAGAGTGTATGAGAGAAATAGAGGACAGAGAGAAAGAGAGAAGGAGAAGGGTAGGCTTGAAGGAGTTTGGGTGGAAAGGTAGAGTGGTAAAAGTAGAGGATCACTGGGAGGGAGGACGTTAAAGGTTAATTGTGCTAGACCAGAGGAAACTCAGTTATCACCATGGCAACATGCTATCGGGATTATCATTTTTAACAACACATAAAGCCATGCTGATGTACTAGCCATGACTTTAGAGTGTTGTGTACACACACACACACACACACACACACACACACACTTATAAGGGGGACAAAGACGATACACATATTCTTAACTGCACATCCATACAAACAAAGACAAACACATTTACACACACACACCAAGGTTGTCTCTTGTTGCTTGCCATGCTGTAGATGCTGCAAGACCTTCCATGGTGCTTGACAGAACCATGTATTAGTCCGAGTCTGCAACCACATGGTTAGATCAAGCACAAAGGAAAACCCTGCTGAATTTCCTCCACAAGACACAGAGAGAGAAAGAGAAACAAAGATAAAGAATGAGATACTACTTTGTTTAGCTGGGATAAACTAGTAGGAGTAATGGAGAGAGAGAGTAACAGAGAGAGGAGAGACGTGGGGAAAAAGAGAAGAGAGAAACAGAAGAGTGTGGCAGGAACATTGCAGCTGTTGTACGGTAAATAAACACATGAACCAGGAGTTATACACACGGTCAAACACACACATACACATTCCATTCACACTGTGTGCTTCATTAACCTCTGAGCACATTTTCACATATATTTGGGGTCCTGGTCTGTGATTGGTTGGGGTTGAGGGGGAGGGGCTTGTAGGGTGACGCCTTATCGGTCATGTGTCAGTTACTTACACTTATTGATATGATGAATCCCTGAGTGTGTGTGCGAGAAAGGAAGAGAGAATATGTAATATACTCAAACAGTCAAACCCTCACGCTGGCGAATTCTGGAAAACCTGTGTTTCAGATCCATGCCACTGTGTGCAATTTGTGAGCATGCACACAGCAAGAGTGAAACTGATCGTGTGACCGTCTGATAGTGTGTTTGCTCATCTAACAACTTCATGTATAACCATCATACTGTATTAGTAGTTTGATTTAAACACATGCCAAGTTCTTAGAACTATACTCTTAGTATTCATGTTGTTTTATATATCATTTTTAGGAAATGCATACATTTATTTACTGTAAAAACATTTATTAAATGTCTAAATATATTAAAAGCATTTTAAAGACAATGTAATTTTTTAATGAGGCATATTCTTTATTAAGATATCAGGATATCTGTTTTATCCTGACATTTGAATTTTCAAAACATCAATTCAAATTTAAATGTAAACTATTTAAAATTTTTGAATTGTAATCAACTGTTGCTGGGTTTTTTTCACAATAGAAGAGGTATATTCAAGTAACTGTATGTGTGAACTGCGTTTATAATGTATTTTTGAATAAATTATTCGATTCTGACAAAAAAAAGAGCATTGTCATTTACCCACGTGCTACACAAGAACACAGCACCATTATGTGTAGCTCTTCTTTGCAAATACAGCAAAAAACACACAGCACACTTGTGTACTTCAGGCCGTCTGTATAGCATTCTGGATCTTTAATTGTGCACAAAAGTTTTTTTTATCTGAATGATAATATGCATGTAATTTGCATGCATTAGTGTATTAGTCCAAAGGTTTTTATGCAGTACACACACAGACAAAACGTTTAGTAGCTGAACATACCTGGTATAAAATATTGTTCTTTAGCTAAACAAAGAGAGATACACAGAGAACTGAGAGGAAAGCTGTGTGTGTGTGTGTGTGTAGATCAATAAATGAATATGAATATTGATCAGAGAATCCTGCTCATTTATAACCCCACAGCGATCAATACTCAACTGACAACCACCCCCACACACACACACACACACACATTTGCATTCTGATTTATAATCTGCTTACAGGAGAAGATAACTTATTCTGAGACCCTCAGAACTGTGTCGTATAAGTGAAAGCTGACTAAGATGTTTCCACCCCTAAACACATACACACATTCCTGACACTAAAGTCCAAGGTCAGGAACAGACCGGAAGAGTAGGGTCAAACAACTCAGTGTCTGCAAGCAAGTCTGGCAAATTACCAAAAATGAAACATATACGCAACTACCCATGTTCATGCGTGTATGTACCTGAACAGCGGAACTTTTTGCTCTTGATCTGGCCGATGCGTTTGTTAGCAAGGCGGCGGGGACTGGTGCATCGAGCTCCGCTGGTCTCAATCGGGTTGTCTTGCAGGTAGTCAGCTAACCACTTCAAATGGCAGTCACACATGAAGGGGTTCTGGGCCAAATGACTGATAAATAAAAAATATTTAAGAAAATTTTGAATGACGGTCATAGTTAAGGTGTGCTATTTCTTGACAAACCAAATAGAGTACACTCAAATTTTTGACCAGCCTGAAATATGACTGAATGGAATTGCTCATACATGGGCCTAATATTCCATACCAAGAGTTGTTCAAACATGACATTATAAAGAGATGATATTTATACGACAACCAAAAAATTAATTGATATATAAAATTTGCACTTTTGTTTTATTCCTTAATGTTTAAAATAAGAGCTTTCAATAAAATAAAATGATCAAGATTAATCTCTTGATTTCCAACCAGTCTTTAGAAATCAATAACACCAAAAATCAGTGTATACTGTATGCATATATATATATATATATATATATATTCTTTTTTTTTGTAACTTACTAGTCAAGTAGTCTAAAAGTAGGAACCCCTCAGAAGATAGTCAAAAACAATGTGTGTATATGCGATCCATTTGAAATACTTAAACTATGAATCAAAGTGTTAAATAATTCTAGATAACTTATTATCTGAATTGTTCATATTTGATTTTCCATCAGTTACAATTTACAACACTGATGGCAACAAAAGCAGCAGATGGGATGAATGAAAATGTCAATTCACTCTTGCAAGATATAATGTAATCTTTTGTTTTTGTTGTTGTTTTCTGAAATCTTAGATACAGCAGAGTGTCAATCATTTTGCAACAAATGTTACTTAGAGTAACTCACAGTGTTTGGATGGCTCGGAGAGAAGAGAAGGTTCCCTTTACGATGGTCTGGAGTTTGTTGTCATAAAGTGACAGAAGATTCAGATTCTGCAGGTCTTGGAAAGAATCTACGCGCAAACAATTGATCTTGTTCGCATTAAGCAACCTGTTGGGATAAACATTTGCATGTGGCATTTTACACAAATCTCTCAGACAAACAGGAAAATCTATACATGCATTGTAAATTGAGATATTATAAATGCCATACACAAATAGATTAACATTTCTAGACAAACATAGGAGCGAAAAAATCCCTATGGTCTCCAGACTCATTTACAGTGCCTTATAGGAGAACAAAGTTGTGAATAAAAAGAGGATTTATTTTACAAAGCAGCTTTCGTATAAACAGGATTTATATGTTCTGCATCTCCTGCAAAGCAATACATCTGTGTGTGTGTGTGTGTGTGTGTGTGTTGTGAGTTATTGGCACCAAACTTTTATATTTGTGAGCATAAACAAATGTGAGTTTCACATGTTAGTTATTTCTGAATATTTTACGAGTCTGCAAGAGTGAGAGGGAGTAGATCGCGTGTGTGGTTTGTATGTAATGTAGTAGCGCCAAACGCTTATGGTCTTGTTAAAACCCTATAAATACTTGGATTAACAAGCATTTCCTAAACATACTCCTCACACCCACATGCACTGACTGGCACACACACACACACACAGCGGAAGTGTGTGTGTGTGTGTGTGTGTGAATTTATGTCCAGTTGTGCTGTCTGTCATCAGGGAAATGTGTGAGGCATACAGTCCTACCCTCACAGCCCACACACACACACACACACACACACACACAGTTGTGAATAAACAGAGGATTTATTTTACAAAGCAGCTTTCGTATAAACAGGATTTATATGTTCTGCATCTTCTGCAAAGCAATAAATCTGTGTGTGTGTGTGTTGTGAGTTATTGGCACCAAACTTTTATATTTGTGAGCATAAACAAATGTGAGTTTCACATGTTAGTTATTTCTGAATATTTTACGAGTCTGCAAGAGTGAGAGGGAGTAGATTCACTTTCAACACTGTCTGAGCGCGTGTGTGGTTGTAATGTTATGTAGTAGCACCAAACGCTTATGGTCTTGTTAAAACCCTATAAATACTTGGATTAACAAGCATTTCCTAAACATACTCCTCACACCCACATGCACTGACTGGCACACACACACACACACACAGCCCACACACACACACACACACACACACACACACACAGGTTTCTATGTTTTATGGGGTCATTCCATAGACATAATGGCTTTTCTACTGTACAAACTGTATTTTTTATCCCCTTACCCTAAACCTACCCCTCGCACAAAACTACAGGCATTTTTACTCAATCAAAAAACATAATTCTGCATGATTTATAAGCTGTTTACCTCATAAGGACCAAAAAATGTCCCCAAAAGTTCACAAAATACTTGTGGAGCCATTTGGTCCCCATAATGTAGGGAATACCAGGCACACACACACACACACACTTGTTTTTTCTATCATGATGTGAATATCTATTGTTTTTATACTGAGCTAGGGACGTCAAAAGCACCCGTACCACAACTTTGGTACAAAGTTGATACTAAAATAAATAAAGTTCTTGTCTTGGTAGGATATTCTTGTAAACACGTTTGGTTAGGTATAAGATCTGTGTCAAAATATCAGAGTATAAATGCAGCCTAATGTACTTTCCACTGTCTAGTATGTCATTAATATTCATTTAAATGTCAATATTGACAATGCAAAGAGAAAAATCACTGCTCTCTCCTCCCTCTATATCACTGACTGTTATTTGAAGCAATGCTGACTTACTAAGAAATACTGGTAAAGCTTTACAATAAGGTGTTTAACAGCATATCCATTTATGCAGTGGTATTTAAGTTGATATGGAGAATTATTGGTATTGATATAAAAAATGTTGGTCTCTTGACAACTCTGTACTGAGCTAATGATATTTCCCCTCACACAAGGCATTCTGCATTATTAGATTTTAATTAAGTCATTATTTAGTAGGTTTATTAAGCCATTTTTCCAATGGCTGGTCCTCAGACTTGGCAGAACCCGACCCACCCACACACAGAGAGAAATAAACGCCCTTCCTTCATGGCATTTTCAAGCATAAATTCATAGAATGTGCATTACTCACAGTAGCTGCAATGAGAATAGTCCGTCAAAAAGGCCTTTGGGAAGTTCACTGATTTTATTCCCATATAAAACCCTGAAAGGCAGAAACACAAGGGAACATTAAATAAAAGCAAAGATTAAAGATGTTCATTACCCACCCACACACATAACCATTCATCAGAAACGGTTCCTCAAACAGAGCACAAGATGCGCCACCGGTGACGAATCATATTTAAACACAAATGAAATAATCATATGGACCCAGATTGATGAGGTAAAATCACAAAAAGCATGTGCACAATATTAATACGATATATCAATCTCGTATCATCTCATGTTCATTACTTTATCTTAATGGTCCATAACCCTACGCAAACTGAGGTTGTGGTAAAAATGGGTGAGGAATATTAGGAAATTCAAGACTAATCTGAAAGAGCCATGCAGGGCTACACATTTCTTGGCGTTTTTATTTTAGAATGAATAATGGCACTGTGGCTTTGGCTATATGCTGATATCCTACATATGTGCAGCCCACACAGAAAGAGCCATGGATCTGGAACAGTTGTGCTTTTGTACGTTTATTCGTTAAATATTTTGACTAATTTGATCCTTCTTTCAGCTACTAATCAGTGTGTAGCACACATAACTCTGTTTAACAGGCAGATTTCCCCCCAAAATCAGCATCTAAAATGTTCTGTCTGAGCATGCATTTGAAGTATTTCATTACTGTGATGTCACATCAGGACTTGCATGTGTGTGTTCGCTTATGTTTCACATTGGATCACTCTTCTGGCTTGAAGTTGTATTTTTTCAGCAGGAGAGATTTGCAATGGCTGGCTGGTGTTCCTAAGAGGCTGGTCCGAAGGGAACGAGAGAGAGAGAGAGAGAGGGAGAACTGATCCGCCCACTAAGTTCTGGCTCATTGGAATCCGGTCAGTAAAGAAAACCAAAGAAAACACACAGACCAAGCAAGTAGGACATATACATCCCATCCCCCTAAAACACACACATCTGCACACTGAAAATGCCAGGCCAAAACAAATAGCTTAACATATTTGAGCAAGAGCTTATATTAGTGTGTTTCATATTCTAAGGCTTTAGCCATATACAGTAAAAACTTTTTTTTTTTCGTCTTTAGTCTTGGAGTTACCAAGCTTACTTGCTTTTTCTTAAATTGGTCATGCTTTAATTTATGAACCGATTTTCACTGTTAACAATGACATTTGCCTCAATAAACTCCTAATTTGCTGCTTATCATAGTAAGTTAGTTGGTAAATTTAGGTATGGGGTTGGATTAAGGGATCTAAAATATGCTCATGCAGAATAAGCTATTAATATGTGCTTTATAAGTGCTAATAAACAGCCAATATACTAGTAATATGTACGGAGCTCCGCACATGGCATGCAGGAAAAAAATTGTAGGCTAAATCGTGTGCACGATTTACTATTTTGTTCCCTCGATTTATAAATTGTGCGCACGATTTACTAATTCGTTCCCTCGATTTGCTTAATCGTGCACTAGATTTATAAATCGAGAGAACGAATTACTAAATTGTGTGCATGACTTAGCAAATCGAGGGAACGAAATAGTAATCCTGTGCACGGTTTAGTACATCGAGGGAACGAATTAGTAAATTGCGCGCGCTATTTATTTATTTTTTCTTGCATGTCATGTTTGGGGCTCCGTAAATATGCATGCTGATAAGCAACTGTTACTAGTGAGAATTGGTCCCTAAACTAAAGTGTTACCAACAAATCAAATAATTTGAATTCATATAAAATCGCCTGCTTGTAAAATACTTTGTTTTCCTATGAGATCAGTACTATTCCTTTATTTATTTATACAACTTGTTTTAAGATGGCACCTTTAAAACTGTTCGTCTATTGAAATGACAAGTGTCCCGTATGTTTGACTCTGACTCTACAGGGATTTATCTGTTCTGTTCTCTAAAAGCTTGAATGAGTCAGATCATCAATGATTGAAGAATGGAAGCTTAATGTAACTCTTACATTCTCTTCTCACGCACACACACAGATATACATAGATACTCACAGAGAATTCAAAGATCGGAGACCTTGAAAGGAGTCTGAAGCCAATTCGGTTATTTGATTATTACTCAAATCTCTGAGAAAAAAAGAAGAAAGTTAGAGAAAAATGAGGAATAAGTGTGTAATCATGTATGTACTGTATGTGTGCTCACATGGACACACTCACATTCTCCGCAGGCGTTTGTAAGGTGCGAATGCTCCTGGCGGAATAACCTTGATGGAGTTCTGCTCCAGTCGGCTGTGAACAGAGAGAATAAACCAGATCAACAAATGTAGGGAACGTGGCAGAGGGAATAATCAAGGTGAATGATGGCCACTGACAGCACTATTGAGAAGCTATTGGAAAAGTATGAAAATGATGGGCGATGACGGGTTCGGAATTTTTTTGTAATCTCGGACATTAATTCTGAGTTTAAAGTCTGTTTTTGTAATACAGAAATTGAATACACTAAATGGGGTACCAAGACAAAAGAGGGGGGAAATCAATGTGACAGGCACAAATGTGAGATTAATGTCAATATCTCTGAGATTAATCTAATCACAGCTGTGTCTGTTTACTGTAGCTCCAGTTTGAGGTAGTGCCCATGTCTGGAAGAGTGTGTGCTTGTGGGATTTGGTCAGACTAAAAAAAAATCCAACATCTGTGTTCCATGAAAAATTGAATTATAAACACATTGACATTTTAACATTGCCTTAAAAGCGCACTCACTGTTTTCTTGCAGTAAAGCATTTACCCCTTAGGAAAAGAACAGTACTTATTGCAGATGAGATAAAGACTCCAGTTATATTAGTAGCAAAACTGTTGTATTTTACATGAAGTCGGTCACATCATAAGGCCGCCGGTCACCTAATGGAGCCGTCACACTTTATCTGAATAACCTCCCTCTTATCAGATACTTTCACTTGAGAAATAACTGAATGTCTTTGGAAGTCTGTTACCCACTCTAAACAAAAAAATAAAGACATCATCATGATTTTTTTCCTCATTATTGTCACTCTTGACACATTATAGTTCACAGTTGCGATGTTATTTCTCGTAATTCTGACTTTAAATCTCACAGATGCGACTTTATTTCTCACTGTGTCTTTGTATCTCAAAATGCAACCCAGGCTCATGGAAAACACGTACTTTTAGTGATGTTTCTGCAACATATTACTATATGCAACATATTATTATAATATTCTGCGATATTACATACCTTTATGGAAGGTAAGTAAAATGTCTGGTGAGTGGCGCTAAAATGCACATTCAATACGTGATGACCACGTTTTTATTACATTGCTTCAGGCAAGTAAACCCAACCCTAAACCTACCTGATAGTGTTAACGAAAGCTAAAGTGATATAAAACCCATTCGCTGATGCAGTCGTGCTGTTTTAACTTCCTTATACGAGGGTTTGAGCTGTTTTGTTGAACTATAGTTTCACAGGATTCGAACCGTAGCGTATACTGTATCGAGTGGGCTACCGAACAAACCTACTGTGTTAGAAAACCCATACATATGAAGCTGGATATGTGACGCTAACGTTCAAAAGTATCAGTTTTCAATTCTCACAGCATGTTAAAATTGTTTTGAAGTCATAATATCAACAATATTGTCATAATGTCAACAATAATATGAAGACATAATATTGTGCAAGGAATTGTGAGAAAATGAGGCTTTCTTAATCAAAACTCTAGGCCAGGCAAGTCAAAATGTGACATTATATCTCACAATGTGATTATATCTTACAATTGCAAATGTACATCTTGCAATTACATCTTGCAAATTACTTTCTCACAATCACCCGTTTTATTTTTTACTCTTTATGGCAATAACAGGTTTCCATACGTGGCTGCTGGCTAACTACTGTATTTCTACAATCATAAACCAAAACTGATGCTTTGGTGTGAGTGCACTTTTGAACAAACACACATGCGCACACAAATCCAAATAAAAACCTGAAAAGAAAGTATTTTAAATTGTAAAAATTGCACATTTGAGCTAATTTAATTTTCATTAAATGCGGGGTTAGAGAGTCGGACTTGTAACCCAAAGGTTGTGGGTTCGAGTCTCAGAGTGCAAAAAATGGCTGCTCACTGTGCTGGGTGTGTGTTCACGGTGTGTGTGTGTGTGTGTGTTTACTACTCACTGCTGTGTGTGTGCACTTGGATGGGTTACATACAGAGCTCAAATTCCGAGTATGGGACACCAGACTTGGCTACACATCACATCATTTTCACTTTCTTTACAAAAATGCAATAAAAGACAAATTAACATCAGCTGTAGTTTTCCTACCTGCCAAGTCAAGTAATAAGAATCATAAATATATTATTCATTCAGTATTCCAGCATTCAACATATAGCAATGCTTATTTATAACGTCTCGCCTTCTCGCTGTCTCTCTCAAGATATCTGTTCTTCTCTTTGACAGCAAATAAGTCATAAATCAGATAAGCTCTCCAAAGTTGACAGGGCATGAAAATCAGGCTCCCACATAGGTGGACGAACACACACATACACACACATTTCATTCAACCGGAGCCAAATGAGATAATCCGACTCATCTGCCAAGGCCCTGCATGCAGCTTTCAGAGGAAGAAAAATGAAGGGATGACAGACAGAGCAAGAAGGGAAGAAAAATGATAGACAATGACCCTGGCAGTGAGAGGCACAATAATTTTAAAAAGATGTGGCGTCTCAATCCAGGCCCCGTTGGCAGAGCGTTGGCCCACAGAAGAGATGCCATTGATAAAATAAATCCATTTCCACACTGAATTAATGTGCATGACTTCAGCATGGCCTCCGTAATTAAAATATTTGATACAGATACAACTCTCACTGTGTGTGTGTGTGTGTGTGTGTGTGTGAGTGTGTGTGTGTGTGTGTGTGTGTGTGTGTGTGTTTCTGACCTAACTATTTCTTTATGGATACTCTCCAGTCCAGAAAGATATTTAATAATTTCACAAAATAATATAAAAGTTATTAATATTAACAAAATAAATAAAACAAATGCATAAATAAATATACTATACTATACTATACTACACTATAATATAATATAATACAAAAGTTGTGTTTTACTATACTGTATTGTGCTCTAATGTTATATTATCAATATGATACCTTATATATGGTGATTAATATATTGAATATATTCAAATATATGTTTTTTCCCCCGTTTCTATATTATATGTATTATTATTATATGTATTACATAAATTGGAATTTCCTATAATATAATATAATATAATATAATATAATATAATATAATATATAATAAACATAGCCATAACAACATAACATAACATAACATAACAAAGTATTAAGTATTAAAACAAAGTATTAAAAGAAATATAAATAAGTATTTTAGGGGTATTTTAGTTTAGTATATTGTGATTATAATTAGTATAATGTGTGTGTGTGTGTGTGTGTGCACGTGCGTGCGTGCGTGTGTGTGTGCGTTTTTGTGACATATGAGGACACAAATTTGTATAATGACATGGGTATTACAAGGAGAAGGTGACTTATGAGGACATTACCCCATGTGCCCATTTTTCAAAACAAAACAAACGTGTGTGTGTGTGTGTGTGTGTGCGTGCGTGCGTGCGTGTGTGTGTGCGTTTTTGTGACATATGAGGACACAAATTTGTATAATGACATGGGTATGACATAGGAGAAGGTGACTTATGAGGACATTACCCCATGTCCCCTTTTTTCAAAACGCTTATAAATCATACAGAGTGAGTTTTTTTGAGAAAGTAAAAATGCACAAAGGGGTAGGTTTAGGGGTAGGGTTGGTGTAGGACAATAGCACATACAGTTTGTACAGTATAAAAACCATTAAGCCTATGGAATGTCCCCACAATTCACAAAAACAAACATGTGCATGTGTCTGTGTGTGTGCTCCTCACTCACATCTCAGTGATGGTTTCTGGCAGGCTGGTGGGTATTTCAGTCAGTCCTTTCCCTCTGCAGTCCACTACATTATTACTGCAGGTGCACAGCTCAGGACACTGCAGCACACTACAGGACGAGTGTGACTGGGGCCCTAAAACACACATACAGACAGATGACAAGGATGCAGGGGTGTGTGCTACACAAAGGAAGGCTGAGTCTAAAGGTTGAATTAAATTAAAAAACTTCCTCAAGCAAAAAAGTTGTGAACTGCATATTGCAACTAAATGCAGTTTGAAGTAAAGAAACGTTTTTGCCCACGTTATTTCAGCACAAATAACTTGCCTTCACTGAAGTCTTGAAAGCATGAGCAAAGAAAGAGAACAGCCAAAAAATGGACAGAATATGAAAGCTTTGACAAAACAAAACAGCAAATTCATGTATTTATTCTCTTTATTCTCACTAGCTCTTATCGCCTATAAACAAGCCACACAAATAAAACGCACACAAACTTACCTGTACACATAAACTCTTTCTTCTGAACCTCAGCCATGTTGTGGCCCCTCAGGGAGGGCGGAGCCATACACTGTGTGTAGAGGCCAAGGCGGGGCCTCTGTCTCAGCCAATCAGAGAGCCAGGCCACATGACAATCACACAGCAGACTATTTGAGTGCAGACGACTAGAGAAAGAAAGAGTCATTTGAAGGTCCGATGGCAGTCTAAGCTGATATGTCGAAAAAACCTGTCCATGTGTGTGAGAGAGTATCATCGACTTTGTGTCAGACAATTTCATGTTCATTAATTACAGTCTTTTACTTGCAGACAACGTGCAAACACACACAGTGATTTCTCTGTTGACTCTGGTGTTTCTGTGTGGTCAGCATCTTTAGGAGTCCTTCCCTTAACAAGATTAATGTTACAACGAAACTTTAACCATATTTAGTTGCAGTGCTAGGTAGATTACTTGCTAATTGTAGTCAATTACTGATTACAAATTACATGACGAAAATTGTAGATCTGAATCGAATAATTTATTTTTTCTCTGGAAATAAATTGGTAACTATGATAACAGTTTTATTTTAGTATTATTCATATACTTATAATATCTCTTAATATTTTGAACTACCTTTTATCAGTTTACCTATTTTCAGTTTTCATTTAAGTTCTATTAATTTCATAATGTGCTTCTGTCATTTATAAGGTATTTTATTATTATGTTTCTTTTATTTAGCTTTAAAACATTTTTACGTTTTAGTTTTAGTATTAGTATTTGTAGCACTTCAACTTATTTCAATTTAGTTGCCATGACATTATTCCTTATTTTCATTTAAGTTTTTTTTATGTTTTTCATCTAATAATTATATTTTATTTTATTTCTGTATTATTTCAATCAGCAAAAATGATAAAAAAAAAAAAACTTTTAGTTTTAGTTACCTTTTTTAGTTTTTAGTAACCACAGTATAGGACGATTTACTAGCAATCTATCATTTGATAGGGGAAAATGTCTGACCTTTCACACTATATAGCCAAGTATGTTTCATGGTCTTAATGGTCTTTCCCATCTTGGCATTCACTGGCTTTCTTTCCATCATCTATTGCTGACGTTTAGCTAACAAGGACTAGAATGCCAATATAGCAATTATCTACTTTAGCTCATCATTTAAATGGGATTAAATCATGATCGCACACAAAGGACTCCAATCTACAAAATGTATGCTAATGAAACATACATATTAATGTGGTTATTACACCCTATTACCCCATAATCACACTTATTAAGGGCCAGCATGATAAGTGCTGGATAACATGCCAACGACAGTCTGAAGAACTGGTTTAATGCAGTTTGAGTGTGTGTGTGTGTGTGTGTGTGTGTGTGTGTGTGTGCGCGTGTGTGTGTGTCAGATACTCACAATGTCCTAAGCTTGGGCATGTGATTAAAACTGGCCACTGACAAACGAGATATATTGTTGTTGTTCAGTGTGCTGTGAAACAAAGACAGAGAAAGATAATCACAAACATATATAATAATAAGGGATAGTTCACCAGATGAAAGTGAATGGTTACCACAGCTGCCCCTGGTTCCCATTTACTTTCACTGTATAAAAAAAGAGCATCTTAGACATTATGCTAAATAACTCCTTTGGTGTTCTGCATGAAAAAAGTGCTTTGGAATAGATTAGTTTGTTCTTAGGAAGAGTGAGTGAACTATCCTTTTAATGTTTTCCTATTACAATATTCCATACACAATCTTTTACAGATGATTTGACTTTTTTTTTTTTGCAGTATATCAATATGCCTTCATGCATGTGTGTGGTTATATGCAGGGAACCACTTTATAGATGCACATCTGCTCTTACACAATACAGCTCATAAACCGTCTTCTGTCCATTTGTCACAAAGCATCATCAAAATAATCCTAGTAAAATAATCTGACACAATCCCATTTATCTGTCTTGATTCCATTCTCTCTAACAGGATTATTCCACTGATCCCACTTTAAAAAGCAGATATGCATTTTATACAATCGTTCAACACTCAGCAGGCACGATCTGACAGCAGAACACGGCATGTCGTCTACATACAGAGAAATCCATACCAACTTAACATGAATATACCATTTTTTAATCGCAATTTCAATCTAAAAATCAAAGTTTCTGGAACAGTCCCCCAAAACCGGAGTGGCCCTGCTTTGACCCACGTCTAATACGACCATGATATCTGAAAAGATCTCTGCAGTGGCTTTAATTCAACAGAACACAATCACGCAAGTTCACACACACACACACACACACACATGCAGTATACTTACAGTACTTCTAGGTCCCGCAGAGCTCTGAACGCTCCGTCTTCAATGCAGGAAATCTGATTATAGTCCAGCTGCCTAAAAGAGATAAAGACAGATAGAAAATGTTTGAAGATGATGCTGTCGGTTCTTCTGTTTGGTGTTCAGTGATTATGGAAATAGAATAATACACTCTCAGAAACACTACTGATCCTTACTAAAAAACAACAACACATACATCCTTCACTCTCCTGTCCTTCAATGTTTTTTTCTCTCACTCATTTTGCTGTCAGTCTTCCTCCCCCATCACTGTTCTTCACTTTCCAGCCTTCTCAGTCTGTCTGCTGTGCTCTCCTCCATTATTGTCTACCTGCACTGCCCACTCCTCCCACATATGTGTGTGTGTGTGTGTGTGTGTGTGTGCGCGTGTGTGTGTGTGTGTGTGTCAGTATGCCTGGGCATCTCATTAAAGCACACAATCATTAATTCAAAGCTCTCTTTCTCTCTCTCTTTCGCACATAGATACAGAAGACTCACAGGTTTTTGATCTCAGTAGATCCTCTGAACGCTTTTCTGGGAATCCCCTGGATCTGATTTTCACTCAGGTCTCTGGTAAATAAAGAGAGAGAACATTAACAATCATAAGCAGTTCTAAAGACAGACACATATTAGAGTGATCTGCAGTTCTCTTTAAAGCAGAGTGTACACTGAATTGTTTCCCTTCGCTGTTGTTTTGTACAATAAAAGCAAAGGCAGACTGAGACATCAACTGTCACAATGTACAACATACATCTTAGTTTAGCCAAAAATAAAAATTGTCATAATTTACTCATCCTCATGTCATTTCATAACTGTATGACTTTCTTTCTTCCTTGCAACACAGAAGGCATGTGAGTGAAGAAGATGTGAAGAATGTTCTGTTCTGCGTTTGCCATAATAATAAATGGGATTGGAGCTTTCAATCATCAGAAATTGTGTATCATAAAAGTGAAGTATTATAAAAGTGGTACATATGACTTGCTATACCCCAAGTCTTCGGAAGCTATAAGTTGATAAATCAGACTGATTAAATAATTTCAATGGATTAGTTCAGTGGTTGTCCAAGACAATATTCGAAGGTCTAATCGGAAAAGTCCCTCTGGTAATTAAAAAATAAATAAATAATAAATAAAAATATGTCAATAAATATAAAATATGATGTCAGTTTACTGTTTCAGCATTTTAATTAAGATCATTGTAATGTAACTAAATGCAAATATAAGGGAACCCATAAAAGATCCTCTAGTGGATACTTTTATCGCTCTTTTGTATCATCTTTGAAGCTCCAAAGCTCCAATTCCTATTCATTGTAACTGTATGAAACTTTTTCAAAATTTCTCCTTTTGTGTTCCATAAAAGAAAGAAAATCATACAGGTTTAGAGTGACAGGAGGGTGAGTGAATAATGACAAAATGTGATAGAAACAGCTAAGACTGATGATTTCACCCTACGACAAAATAAATGATTCACGAATCCTGAAATTAGTCTCAAAACTCATGTGCCCTGCAGCTTAGATAAATGGTCAATATGAAAAAGAGGAGAATCAAGGAGAAAAATCAAGGAATGATATAATTAATCACTCCAGCAAAATCCTCCGGTGTAAAATCCACACATAACTAATAGCCTTGTGTTCAAACAAGACCTAAAAAGAACACAATCACTCATAGTATTCAGCATTCACAGACATCTGCAGACACTGTCAGCGGGAGAAAATAAACAACAAAAGAAAAAGAAAGCAAGAACAGAATTAAATATTCCCTTTTTCAAATTAAACAGCTGCAAGATCAAACACAACAAATATGCATGCACACAGTTATGATGAGACTAAACAAACATTTCTAACTGAAGTCCCAGGTTCTTCAGGCATCAGAGCAGACATTTAAACAGCCTGGGTAAGTCTTCAGCACTCTTTAAAAATGTCATCCTGACATGACCTGAGCGTGAACTGAATGGGAATCGTCTTTAATCAGGTTCATCTGTGCCTGTACAGGACGCCGACACCGATCTATGTGCGCATTTATGAGATCAAACGTACTTCTGGATTACAGTGCAAACATTCCAGCTGTCACCCAGATGAGAGCGAGATGGATTCAGGCACAGACAGTCAAAGCATTTAAACCAAACAATTAAAAAACCTGTTCCCAGTTCAGCATGGCGACTAACATCACCATAAAGCAACATCTTTAAAAATGTCATCCTGACATGACCTGAACGTGAACTGAATGGGAATCGTCTTTAATCAGGTTCATCTGTGCCTGTACAGGACGCCGACACCGATCTATGTGCGCATTTATGAGATCAAACGTACTTCTGGATTACAGTGCAAACATTCCAGCTGTCACCCAGATGAGAGCGAGATGGATTCAGGCACAGACAGTCAAAGCATTTAAACCAAACAATTAAAAAACCTGTTCCCAGTTCAGCATGGCGACTAACATCACCATAAAGCACCACACATACGCACAAAGACATGGTGGGAGGTGAGCTAGACAACCAGGAAGGCTCACACACACACACACACACACACACACTCACACGTATATACAACTTCAGTGGCAGCACAGAGTGGAACACCCAGGAGGGCATCGAGAGCAGAGAAACAGAGAATAAAAGAGAGAGAAAGAGGGTTAAATGACGACCCCGAGCACCTTTAGAGGAAGTGCTTCACTCGCTCTCTTCCTCTTTTCAATAAAAGAACAAAAACTAACAGAAGCTTAATCCCTGCTTTCATCCCACTCTCTGTCCTTCACTTTCTGTCACTTTCACTCTTTCTTTTCTCCCGCTGTGGGGAAAAAACTCATATAACACCAAAAAAACACTAATCAATGTGTTTCTCTCTGTTATCATAAAGTGTGAATGAATATAATGAAGAGTTATGAAGAGCCCACCTGCACTAATTATAACCATCAATTAACTTCCTTTCAATGAATATCAATTATCATAACAGCCACTGTTTTTTTCAAGGGGTCACATGATCAGATTTTAAGTCCCGGTCACATGATCAAATCTCCATTCAGGGGTTCCCAAAGGCTGACCTTTGCACCCTTGGAGTGTGCATGCATGTGGGGTCCTGTGTGTGCGTGTCTCCGTAGGGGGTGACTTTAATGAAGTGTCTTCCCTCACGCAAAGCAGACTCTCAAAGACAACCGTCTCATTTATAGACGTGCACCCGCACACATATACACACACAGCATGAGACCCTCACAGATCGTGAATAGCCAGTTCAGCTAGCCAGACCTGTCAGTCAAATTCCTCAGCCGTCAATCATAATGGGAGACAGACCCTCAGTCTCCAAAAACGAGACACTGACCGTGTGTGTGTGTGTGTGTGCGGCAAGGTCAGGCCAGACAGAGATAGATTGTCTGTCTGTTGAGGGCTCTATTAATTTTCATTTTCATGTGTGGCACATGACAGCACCAATCACAGAGCCGCAGGATTTAAATGAAAATGCCAGGGAGACAGACAGGTATTTATAATATCAAAAATATTCAACACACACACACACACACACACACACACACACACTTGTCTGCATGTAGCCGCAGTGATGGATTTCATCTTCATCCACTAGGGGTCAGTACAATCTTTCCAGCATGGACAACTATAGACAGACACCAACATCTGATAAATGGTTTTGTTTAGGTTTACTTATGTCTATTAAGCTTGTAAAGATATTACAGATGCCAACGACTCAGAAATATATTATATTTTATATATATAAATATATAAATATATTCCATATTAATTCAAATACAATTAAACTATAAAAAATGACAGAAGGGTAATTCAATGAAATACTATCAAAGCTGGTAGAGGGTTTTTTTCTTTTGATGTGTTTTTATTTCTTTTAGGTAGCTTAGAGGGTATCAGCTTGGCTATTTTTGTTTGCTAGTTTGGCCTGGTCGAATTCTCGATCTCTTCGTTTCTGGGTTTCTTTGTTATATGTAAATAAATCTATTTTCTGTTTGGCATTAACTCATCGTGAGTGAGCATCCTTTATTTATGTTTCGGCTGACGCTATATAATGTCTATATATATACGTTTGGCTGATTCATTTTCATTAATGCGGCATGACTTTCGGCCTGTATTTGTAACTGATTTGCTGAAAGGCTAGTAAGTTTGCTCGAGTCACTATTAAGTTCCATCCACTGCGTCTAAGGCTGTTTTGGGGGGATGGGAAACCGAGAATGTTGTCCCGAGCCCTGTGACGAGGGGGGCCCACTGAAGTGCACTATGCTATAGCCTTCTTATTGGAAGAAGGGGCCCACCGATTAACATTTTGTCCTGGGCCCGAGACTTTAAGTAACTGATTGGCAAAGCACTCTGCTTGGTCTTAAAGTTGCTGTTTTACATGGATGCTTGCCTTTTTTTCTTTTGCACTGTGGCTAAGCAAAACAACACTGTTAAAACACGAAATTTTGTTTATATCCTAATTAGTTTGTTGTGGAATAAACCTGGATATTCTACAAAATTGAGTCTACCTAACCACGTAGTGCTCAACAAATAGAGAGAGGAAAAAAAGGAAGGAAAGAGAGGGAAGAGTAAACTGATAGGGCAGAATGAGTGGAAAGTGAGAGGGAGAAACAGACAGACGGAGATGCCATCACATCCTTGAGCCTTTGATAGCAAACATTACATTACCGCCAGTATGACGAACCAGAAACAACACTATCTCACCAAATGCCACGATAAGCACGCAAACATCAGAGCTGGAAGTGTTTGGATTTGCTTGGACAGCATCAGAAACGGTTATTTCACTCAGACGGCGTGTGTAGAGATTTTAAATTTGAGCCAGGGTGAAATTGTCCCAGATATGAGTCTCTCAATCTACTGCCAATTCGCAAGTTGATGAATTCTGCATTTGTACACCATCTTTCAAGGCTTTTATTTTTCTTTCTTCACATTCTATTTTTTTTTTTTCATTCCTTTTCAGGTTCGCTTCAGTTATATTAATCACCTGATTTTTGCCAATTTGAGATTATTGACATTGGCTGATACACATTTTGCAATTTCCTTGTGTCAGTTCCAATTTTTAAATTGAATTTTGAGTCAATATTGTGTAGAATTTAAAGTTGCAATGACAATTCACCCTATTTTGAACATATAGATCTTATTGTGAACATGCATGTTTCAATGTTTTGTTTGTTTTGGACCTCATAATGTTTAAGCAAAATGTCATAACTGGATCTGCCGATGAAAACAAACTTCTCTAATAATTTACTCCGCTTAAACCTCATCCCTCTACAATTGACCACATTCATTTTTGAGTGCAAAATCCTCATCTTAAAGTCTAATTAACAACCGACAAATTTTTTGATAATGCATAACACTTTGATGTACGTCACAGTATGGATAAAAAGATCTGTCGCTGCTTCGGTTTCATCGCGACTTTAATATAATTTGTCATTTGTGAGTTTGTTCTTTCTATATGGTATTTGGGCTCTGCTGAGAGCTGAGAAGCATTGATAAAAACACTGAAAATGCATTAGTACTCTGTGAGTGTGAATGTGTGCTTCACACTTTCTCTCTCTCTTTAACATCCAGTGGTGTTAGGGAGACCACCTGTCATC